ACGGAACACGCTTGAAACCTTCACCACAAATCGAATTCCGCGATTTGGGTCGATTTCGTGCCCCTTTTTACAATCCTAATGATCTGAGCGATCTGTTGGGTTTATATTCAGTTAGCATATCTGCAATATATTGAGGTCCTAACCCATTAAATGATTTATATACCAGTAATAATACTTTAAAATCAATCCTAAATGTAACTGGCAGCCAGTGTAAAGACCTGAAAATAAAATGGGGAGGAAGGCCAGTGAGGAGGCCATTACAGTAATCCACCCTGCTGTTTCTCTAAGTCTTGACTGGAAACAAAGCATCTAATTCTTAAAATATTTTTCAGATGATTTTCAGATTTCAGTATGCTGATTTAGTTATTGCTTTGACATGACTATTGAAAATAAGGCCTGACTCTAGAGACACGATTCCTGACTTGATTTTTAGTTGTTAGACCCCTAGCGTCAAGGTATGCATTCACCTTGAGAACTTCATCTTTGTTTCCAAACGCAATAACTTCAGTTTTGTCTTTGTTTAACTGCAGAAAGTTTTTACACATCCAACCATTTACTTCATCAATGCATTGGCACAGGGAGTCAATGGGACTGTAGTCGTTAGGCGATAGGGCTAAGTAGAGCTGTGTGTCGTCTGCATAGCTGTGGTAAGCGATTTGGTTCTTTTTCATTATTTGGCTCATTGGGAGCATATACAGGTTGAATAGGAGTGGCGCAAGTATCGAGCCCTGAGGGACTCCGCAGATCATGGATGTCCACTCAGACTTATGTTCTCCCATACTCACAAAATAACCTCTCCCTTCTAAGTATGACCTGAACCAGTTTAGGACTATCCCAGAAAGCCCCACCCAGTTTTCCAGCCTGTCAAGAAGTATGTTGTGATCGACAGTGTCAAATGCAGCACTGAGGTCGAGTAGTACCAACACGGATAATTTGCCTGTATCAGTATTTAAGCGAATATCGTTTATTATCTTTATGAGCGCTGTCTCCGTGCTGTGATGCGATCGGAAACCAGATTGAAAATTGTCAAAATATCCATTTGAGCTTAAAAATTTGTTCAGCTGATTGAAGACAACCTTTTCAATGATCTTGCCTATGAAAGGAAGATTTGAGATCGGTCTATAATTGCTCAAGATGGTCTTATCCAGATTGCTCTTTTTCAGGAGGGGCTTGACAACTGCAGTTTTCAGGGAGTTCGGAAAACTCCTAGAGCGAAGTGAGGCATTTACCACTTCTAGGAGATCTGCTTCTAAACAGTTTAACACACTTTTGAAAAAAAGATGTGGGAAGTAGGGCTGGGTATCGATTCACATTTCGATTTCGATTCGATTTCGATTCGCAAGCTCTCAGTTCGATTCGATTTCGATTCTCGATTCGATTTTCGATTCTCGATTCCTGATTTGATTCTAGATTCAACTATAATGAAGATGTAATAAAAATCCTATATTTATAATTTATAAAAAAGAACAGTGGACATAAGTTTACTAGTGGTTAATTAATACAAGAAAATTAAGAGCCATAAACCTGTATATAAAACACTTTTTATTTTAGGTACACTAAATGCATACAAAGATTTTGATGCAATATGCAAAAAAGAGTCGCACAGTCGCACAGAACAGTCGCACAGCTTGATCAAACAGTATCATGTTATTTTATGTTTAAGATAGATAAATATATAAATATTTAAAAAAAAATTACATTGATCTTACCTAAATGTTAATGTATTTTTTTTTGTTAAGAGTTTATGTATGGATGCTTGATTTCAATCTTTGAATTAAATTGAAAAAAGTAGCACAAATAAATACAATAGAATAAAGACAAAAATTAAGAGACATTTTGGGGTAGTTTTTTGGGTATGTCAGATATACTACAGAAACTGAATAAAGTAATCCAATGTAAAATAACACTGGATAGTCTTTTTAGTCCAGACTGAATTAAATACAAAGGCTATTAATTCTGATTGCTTACAATTAATACTATATTCTGTTGTTATGACAACAGAATTAATGACTGACACAAATGGATGCGTTCACTTTAAGAACTAGTGCGCGGATCCATTACTGTTTCATTAACTTTCTGTCACACGCGTTTAATGCTAATTTAAGACATTACCGACTGTCTTTACGAGGTTACTCACCAAGACCAGAGTTTTGACATAATGTTGCGTGTTTTAACTGTTAAAGCGATATAATCCAGGGATAAAACTTTTGTTTCTGGCGAGCTGTTTGTGAGGCGGATTTAGGCTGTGCACGCAGTGAAAGAAATCTCTGAGAGTGCGCGAGCACGGGATGGTTTAACATTGCTTGAGCAAATGAATGATAAATGTTAGTTACGATCATAGGTTACGATGCAATGCTGGCCCGATTGTTAAGTGAATATTCCGTCGTGTCCCGACTCCTAAACGCGAGTGTGTATCGACAGCTGCAGCGCTTGGCGCTTGCCTAGTGCAGAGAGACGAGAAGATGCAGCACCGCGTCCGCGAGCCCTTTATATGGAAAAAAATCGATTCCGGCCGTTGAGAATCGATTTTGAATCGAACACATTTTAAAAAACGATTAATCGAAAAATCGATTTTTTTGCCCAGCCCTAGTGGGAAGTGTGTCAAGGGCGCAGTTTGATGTTTTAAGGTGCTGTATGTTTCTACCAAAATTGTGCCATCAATTTCTTCGAAATCAGACATAGTAACTACTTTCTCAGGTTGTGGTCGGATCTGCCTGACCCCAGAGCAACTCAAGGATGTGCTGATCAGCTTTCTGATGTTATTGATTTTCTCAGAGAAGAAAGAAGCAAACTCACTGAATTTCCTTTCTGAGAGCATTTCTATGGGAATCTGGCTCGGGGGGTTTGTCAGTCTCTCTACAGTAGCAAAAAGAGTGCGTGTGTTGTTTATATTGCTGTTTATAATATTTGAGAAGTAAGTCCGTCTAGCTTTGCCTAGTTCCCTATTGAAAGCGTGGATGCTGTCTTTGTAGATGTTATAATGGACTACAAGTTTTGTCTTCCGCCACATGCGTTCTGCTCTTCTGCATTGTCTTTTCATATTTTGCACAGCTGTTGAGTTCACAGGAGCAATATCATCAATTACACTCTTAACTTTTGAGTTAAAAGAATCAAGGAGAAAATCAACAGAGTCGGCAGATATGCTTGGTTTTAAAGATATAGCCTTCATAAATAGCACACCAGTGTTTTCATTTAAGCATCTCTTCTTGACAGACACAGCTCTAGCTTCAATGGCAGGAGAGATCAATATATCAAAGAAAATACAGAAATGGTCAGACAGTGCTACATCCTTAATAACAATCGATGAGATGTTTAAACCCGTACTGATAAGTAAATCTAGAGTGTGTCCACGATTGTGTGTGGGACCATGTACATGCTGAGTCAGATCAAAAGTTTTTAAAACAGTTTTGATTTCTTTTGCCATATTGTTTTCTGCATTATCTATGTGAATGTTACAATCTCCAGCAATGGCAAAACAGTCAAACTCAGAGGCAATTGTTGATAACAGTTCTGTAAAGTCCTCAGCAAAGGCTGGAGAGTATTTTGGAGGCCTGTAAACAATGATAAGTAAAATACGTGGAGCACCTTTTAACACAATACCCAGATATTCGAAAGAGGGGTAATTCCCAAATGATATTTGCTTTCATTGATAATCTTTAAAAAGAACAGCTAAGCTGCTGGTTCATTCCAACTCATGAACAGCTGGTTCATTCCAACTCAGACTGTAAAAATCTAGTAACACTTTCATCTGTGAGCTATTACTTACTTATTTGTTAATAAGAGTTTATTTTAGTTAATAGTAGTTAATAGATTATTAATAAACTTTTTCAGTAGTTCTCTGGGAAGTATTAAAAAAATAGTAGTTATTGATTACTTAATAGTGAACTACCACTTTCGTCTGTGTGCTATTGCTTACTAGTTCGTTAATCAGAGTTTCTTGTTAGTTAATAATAGTTACTAGATTGTCAATATTGTGTTACTCATAAGTTCTTGTGTAGTTATTCATTAACGAAGGAACCGTATTCTAAAGTGTTACCAAAATTGTCAATGGGTCAGCAACAATATGCAAACCCTATACTTGTCTAACCCTCAAAACACATAGGCTTCACTAAAATATAGTTGTGACATACCAAGGAAAGGTTCCAGCTGTTGCAGAAGATTTCTGAAGGCTTTAAGTAAAGCAATTGCCCTGTCCCTCTCCTGAGACTCTCCCTCTGGCTGCTTGAGCCCCGTCCAGAACTTAGGGGCAACAGATGTAGTCAAACGAACCTGCAGAGTCTCCAGCAGCCAACCCTCCACATACTGACCCAGTCCATGCCCACCTAGCAGGGCCAATGCATCACAGAGAACCTCATCTGTCAAAGCATTGGTTGGCAGAGGAGACACCTAAAGAGATATGATTAACGTTAGGTAACAGCTTTTGGCACTCAAATGTACTTCAATAATAATACCATGCTATAACATGGTCAAGTCCAAAATGGTATTTGATACACAGCAGTATATTTACCACTCACCAGTGCAGATGTCACTGTGTCCCAGGCTGCTGACAGTCCCTGTGGCATTGTCTGCACCTGGTTCATTCCAACTCAGACTGTAAACAATAACGTTAGTCATATATCGTGGGTTAAATGTAAATTGTTCGGTGCCGTTACCATACGTGCATAGTAATTTTACCACGAGACTAAAATTTAGTCCCAAAATTATACGATCAAAGCCATTCAAATGATTGTCAATAGTTATTACACGGAGAAATTGTAGCGCTCTTCTTTGAACTCATGTCGCGCGTCGATGACGACATTGTCGATTCCGGAAGTTGCCTGAAAAAGCAATGTTGTTAAAAATAATAACAAGATACTTCGACATTTAAATGAATGTGGGAGGCGCCCAGTGTATTTGCATTTCCCTTGTAATATTTTTGTAATGTTCTGACAGTATTTGTTTTAATGTAATGATTTTATTTTAAATATAACTATTCTAAAGTCTAACATAAAAGTCCACGCAAACTGTCGTGGTGACGCTTCATGGGCGTTCCCATGGAAACAGGAGGGAGACTTGACTTAGCCGGTTCTGTAATGTTTTCTTTAAAGTTACTCCCCTCGCAAGTTTGCAACATTTAAAGCGCGGTAAAGTGTGTGGCTTGCGAATTCCAGAAACAGAACTAGCTAACTCCAGAACTAACTAACTGACTTCACACTGCATGAAACGCTTTTAGTGTTAAAACGAGTGCAGGCAGGGCTTTTCTTGTAGTTTGCGAGCTAACCTGCTAATCAGAATGACCCAGCAAGGAGCTGCGCTGCAAACCTACAACAATGAGCTTGTCAAATGTAAGTAACCATCGAGCCAGATGTACTATTTTGCTGTCAGGGTAATATACATTTTCTTTTTCATATGCTAGTTTTTTTTTTTTTTACTTGTATGCTTGATGAATAAGTTAGACGGAACTTAAATGCAGTTAGTCTTCGTTGACATTTGCTGTCATTATACTAGCTTAGGAGTGATTAGAAGACTAGTGTGACACTTATAGTGTGTTGTGCATTTCTTTGCCCTTTCCCTGATAGAACAATTGTTTGTTTTTAGCCAAGAAGACATCTCGTTTGTGAGAGACATCAATATGATCTAATTTAAAGATAGAGAAAAAGAATCCATTATATTACATTCAGAAGCCTTAATAAAAATTATTTGGACGCCTTTATGTCAGTGTCATTGCATTCGATAACAAAATATTAAACCACTGGGATGAAGTCAGTTCTCTTCAATTATCACAGGTGTCCAGCAGAGTAACCACTGGTGTATTTCATTACATTAACCATGAGAATTGGCTGGCTATTTGTGTGTGCTGTACATTTTGTTATATTTACAGTCTATGACATTAACTAATATTTGATTCGCCGTTTATCTGTTTTAGTTTATATAAATTCAATAAATTAAACTTATATGTATATGTTAATAAAATTAACATGTATGTATGTTTTTTATTGCACAAATCAGCAGGAAGAACTACTGAGCAAGCACTCATCAGCAACTTATACACACTCCCTCTTAGTTATCACAACACGAATGTAAAGAAACAAATAAAACACTGATTAAACATATTTTAGATGTGCCTGGAGCTGCCTCTTTTTAAAGAACTCTCCCTTTTGTTTTCATCCTCCTCCTCTTTCTCAGGTATAGAGGAGCTGTGCTCTAAAAGAGAAGATCTAAACCGGCTGATCCAACAGGAGGAAGCAGAGAAAACTCGTCTTCAGCATGACATCCGTGTGCTGACAGAGAAGCTGAGTCGTGTGAATGAGAGCCTGGCACGCCGTCTCAGTGCCCGCGCTGACTTTGACCGCACCATCGCAGAGACAGAGGCTGCTTACATGAAGGTAAGGAGGCCATAATAATCAACCTGTTCAATATATCATGTTGTCTTCATGAAATGTGACCAGAAAAAAACAAAAGCTAGCTTAATTAATGTTGCACATCAATGTTTTGTCAACCAGTGCGTATATCTTAAATGAAACTTACATGACATTTTTTTTTTCTAATTCAAGTTTGTATTTTTTTTTTCATCCAGTACATGACAATACAATGTATCAATACTGCTTGCAAGGCCAGAATATTACAGTGGTTAAATGTAATAAAGTAAATTAAATAAGTAAATTATTATTTCACATGTAAAGACGATGTCACAAATGACCAAAAATCTTCCCAAACTGGTGTATCCACCGGGACCCCCGTTTTGTTCTTATTACGTAATTTACAAAGCAGACGTTCGTATGAAGCTGTCCTGGTCATTATGTTGACCCATTCTTTTAACTCTGGGGTTTCTGGAGTTTTCCAGTGTTTCAGGATGATTCTATCCGTCACAGAGACCCCTACCATAATTACTGCAAACTGTCCCTTTGAAGTATTTGGCGTCTGTTCCCTATCTCCTAATAGACACAACCTTGGTGATGACGGTATTGTTGTTGCAAGCCATTTGCTCAAAATATTTAAGGTTTGTTGCCATAAAGGTTGAATAATTGGACATTCCCAGATACAATGAATAAAAGTACCTCTATCCTTTTGACATTTCCAACAAACATCCTTATTTGTCAGACCCATTCTATTGAGTCTAAGAGGTGTCAAATAAAAACTATGTATGATTTTATACTGTGTAAATTGTCCTCTAGCCTCTCTTACATATTTGCCTGTGTTTGACAAAATTCTTTTCCACTCTTCAACCCCAATTACAGTCCCATTGTCCTTTTCCCATATCGTCTTTAAATTAGTGCAGACATTGCTTAGCACCTGATTGGTTGTTCTGTAAAATACTGAGGCTTTTTGTTGGGGATGAGGAAGTGATAGGAAGTCCAAGATATGGTTTCCGTCTGTGTGCTGAATTTTCGTGGACACACAATTCCTCATTTGAAGATATTTCCAGAAGTGATCTTTTCCCTTTAAATTATACTTCCGTCCAAGATCATTATAAGACATAAATACACCCTGTTCAAAGAAGTCTGCCACAGTACCCAAGCCGTTCATATCCATTTCTTCCAATATATAGGTGATTTCCCAATACGGATAGTAGAATTATACCATAGGGAAGAGTATGGTTGTTTACATTGTGATAATTTGTGCATCTTGTGAATCTTTGCCCAAACCTCTCTTGAGTGTTTCATGATAGGATTTGTAGTTGTGTCTAAACACTGAGACAAGTGCTCAATAGGGCTGTATTGGCCGTGACAAGGTTTTCTCAATAGTAACCCAGTCTATTCGAGCATTATTGTTCCAATGCTTGGCCAATTTGGCCATTTCAAAAGATATCTACTTACATGACAGCCCAAAAGATATCTACTTACATCTACCCTACATCCCCATGTCAGGGGACCTTTAAAAAGGTTTCTCCTAATTTCTTTCTATCTTTAAAAGATTCAATGTAAATGTGATTTATTACTGTTGTGGTTATTGGTATATGTATATCTTAGTATAGGGCTATTGATTTTTTTTTTTTAAGACAAAATTGTTAGATTATTGTAAACAATGTATTGAAATTATATTGTTGTAATCATAACTATGTTTGAAAATGGAAATACTGTTGATTAGCATGAATATAGCCATTGCTTTTTTTTATGGTGTTTAATCATAAGTAAGTGATAATAAATATATATATATATATATATATATATATATATGAAGAGTTCAGATGCAAAAGCCTCTAAGTGCCATTTAAAATTTTCTTCTAAAATGATCATTTTTATCAAGCTTGTATATTTAAGTTCAGTAATTTCACTTAAATGGCAATGAAGATTACCTATTAATTGTCATTTAAGTGAAATTACTGAACTTAAATAAACAAGCTTGATAAAAATGGTCATTCTAGAACAAAATTTCAAATGGCACTTAGAGGCTTTTGCATCTGAACTCTTCATATATATATATATATATATATATTAGACATTTAATTTGTTATAAAATCTATTTCAAACTTTATATTCATCAGAGAATAAAAAAATACAATTAGCAATATGCAAGAATAACTATGTAATTTTAATGTGATAATACAGAAATTTTTCTTAAGCTCCAAACAGCACATTTTGAGCATAATATAATAATAATGATGATTCCTAATACATTTTCTTTATAAATATATTATGTTATTTTGGCTGATTTTTTTTTTTTTTGTTTTTTTTTTTGGTGTTGATGTTTCTGCAGGTCTTAAAAACTCTTAATGGGCTCTATGCACAGCGGTATTTCCGGTGAAGGATTAAGGATGCTCAATAATTTCCGCCGATCGTAGAGTCCAATGCAATACCGAGAATTTATATTGAATTTTATACTCCATGGTTATACTAATGAAACGTTAGTCACAAAAACAGATAAAACAGACACCCCTCGTTGTGTTTATGCTTCTTTTTAAAATTATATTAAATAAACATAACCATACATAAAATTACATCTAAACGTATGTACGTTTCGTTTCAAAGACGGGAGGACAGTAAATTTTGAAGACTCTGCCATAATCCCGTTTTCCTCGGTTCTCCTCCGCTTAAATCTCCACAACCGGAAATGGACGAGCATCCGTGCGTCAAATGTGGAACTTATGTGTGCATATCTCCTTACACAAATTAAAGCGCCTTATAAGGGTCTTAAATCAGATTATGTTACGGCATTAAATGTTGCATGTATTGCAAACAAAATGTATATCTTCCTAAGAATTCTTTCCTGTTATCTTTGATACATTTACTTTAGATGCAAATGCAAGTCTTTAAATTTGAGTTTGAAGAGAATACATATCTGTCAAGGAGTTAAGAAGATATTGCTAATACAAATTATTAGGTTTCTCCATAGACATTTACATATAGATAACATGTTGACATGTTTTCTTCAATTTTCTTTACTTAATCTTAAAAAGGTTTTAAAAAATCTTTCAGAAACCTGTTTTTTTAGCAGTACTTTTTTGTTGTTGTTTTAATAATGATGCTAGTGTGTGGACAGTCACCACATTTCAGACTAATTAATCTGAATGTTACTGCTGAGCCAACCAAAGAAGTAGGGCAACATGCAGAGGTAGGTTAGTTAGTTGCACAAAGAAAATGTGTTTTTATGCTTTCAACAAATCCCTTTTCTGTCTTTCTCAGATTCTTGAAAGCTCTCAGACACTGTTAAGTGTTTTGAAGAAGGAAACTGGGAATCTGACCAAAGCCACTGAACCAAGAAGCAGCAAAGATCATTGATAAATACTGAATTTTTCTCCTTTTATTTGTCTATATTCCATTCATAATTTCTACCAGCAACATTTACCACACAACATCAGTGTAACTTCTCATTCTTATCAGGAAGCTGTATATGTAAAGTGTATAGATATGTAATAATGTTTTGATCTATTAGTAGTGTTTAATGTAATGCTTTTAATTTAAATTTAATGTTTTAATAAATCAAATGAACAAGTTATCTGTTTGATGTCATTTAAAGGGCTATGAAGGATATTTCTGTATGTAAATAAATTATATCTCAAGACAAAGTGTGAAAACTCCGCAACCTTCATCTGTTTATTGAATATTTCCTTGTTTTTGACATTTTTCCCCCTCTGAGTTAATCAAAACCAAATTGTACATTTAATATTCTCTTGATGCAGAAAACAGAAAGAATGAGAAAAAGTTTTGACAAACTAGTACATTTGACAAAAAGTACATTAACCACCATAGCAATGAGCAGCTTGATTGGAGTTACAGTAACTAATGAAACACTTAAAGTTGCATTACATTTCGTGAGACACAAAAGCAATAGCTCCCAACCCTCTAAATGTCTAATATGCATCCCTCAAAAATATTTTAAGTTTGCCAAGAACATCTGGAGGATCTACTGTCTATTGGGATGGTAAGCGAGTGCTAAAGTGACATACTGCAGAACTAGAATGTAAGATTTGGTTGAATTCTAACACTTAATCTTTTATTTCAAGTTTTTTCTTAAATAAAAATTGCCTTTAATTATAATATATGAAAAATCATGGGTTCAAATTTTTGTTCAGACAGGCAGCAAAAATACCTTTCATACACTACCATTCAAAAGTCTGAGGTCAATAAGATTTTTTTGAATGTTTTGAAAGTCGCATGCTTACCAAGGCTGCATTTATTTAATTAAAACAGATATATGTTATTGCAACATAAAATAATAGTTTTCTGTTTTAATATATTTTAAAATGTAATTTATTCCTGTGATGGCAAGGCTACATTTTCAGCAGCCATTATAGTCCTCAGTGTCAAGAGATCTTTCAGAAAGGTAGTTTATGTTTAGTTTGTATTTAATGTTATGCTCCCAGTGAACACAGATTAAAATTTTTATTGAATTTTTATAAAAAGTGATTTTAGATTTCTTAAAGGCATTATTCCAACCAACTCTCAAAACTTAACTGCATCAGGTGCAAAATAAAGCAAAAACAAAGACAGTGCAAATGAATGAATACAAAAGCCTATAGGACTAAGATGTACTTGTAAGAGAAGTCTTATCAAAACTCATGTAATTTTGTACATGATGTCAAATTATCAAAAGAATTATCCTGAAACACCTTAGTGCTACTATTTGCCCATTTGACTAAAAATATGAAAAAGTGTTAAAAGAGATCAAATAAATTATGAAAACTTTATCCTGGAGTGTACAAACTATACATCAATACTGGTCGGAAAGGCTGAGGAGACGAGTGAGCTGATACACCGAAGCCATTTAACAGACATGACACACTCAAGTCAGTTGGCATTGTGTGTATTTAGTCTTCGTGTTTCTCACACACATATGCTTACAGCATGTCCAATCAAAAATCCACAAAATAATGTTTCCCATGACTAAAACTGACCGCTCCCATTTGTACTACAAGAATGTCCAGTTCAGAAACATACTGTAAGGATATAAACTTCAGCATGATTATTGATTAAACTGATGCATCAGTTAGTAACACTGTGCTAAAAAATGGCATACCAAAACAATCTCAGATCATAAATCTCACAAAACCTGCTAAGAACATTTCCAGGTCATATTTCTTCCCAAAAATAGATTTTTTTTTTTTTTGAACATTCTATTTAGCTCAAACAATATTTTAAGGATATCCAGTCCCACCGAATTTGTCATTACCGTACCGTGAACATTTAATAACATGTTTTACTGTAATGCAGTAAGACTACCAGATTATCAATAATGGAGAAATTAACTCGCGTATTATGGTAATAAGAATTTCGGAGGAAAACATTCATAAATGTCATTGAAATAATGTCAGAATTATAGTCCTAAAAACAGGCATCATTTTGATTTTTTTTTTTTCTTGATTTTTTAATTTTTTCGAAGGTCAAATGTAACCTGGGCATGTCTTCACAGGATTGACTTTGAAATTGCATTTGTTATCCAAATCATGACCAAGTATTTTTATGTAATTATTTTACCATGAACAAGCAAAACAGGATGAATTTGCTTAACCAGCTCACTCTATTCAGCAATTAAGAGGAGCTCTTAACATCTAGATTCACTAAGTCAACACTAACATGTTGTTAGTATTTCATCTGTATAGTTTATTGGTCTGTGCATTAAAAATGTCTACCTTGAAACACAGACATACAAAAGGAAACATGAAACTAAAGTGGACAAATTCTATAGTCTGGGAGTCGATACAGACCTACACATGCACATACAAAAACATCACATAGAACAAGGATTGTGGCACCCTTTCACCAGTCATACATAAACAAGTCACTTATTTCATTTTTTTTTTTTTTTTTTTGCCTCACCCTCTTATTGTCCTCTTTCTGGAGTCCTCAAGTTTCCTTCTCTGTTTAAAGGACAAGTCTTTCATTCACTCTTTTAGAAATTTGGTCACTTTCGTGAGGTGAGTATTACATACGTAGAGCAAGTACGTGATGGAAGAGTGAAATTCAAGAGCGGAATGGCTATTCAAGCCATTGTCCACGTTAACACAGTCCATCACGATCAAAATCGGTGGCAACAGGAGGTCAGATGTGTGTGTGACACATCCGCTACGTGGATCAGCGGTGAGGAAAACCCTGCTGTTGACGCTGATGGCGTACGGCCATGGAATACGAAATGTACGTTTACGTGTTGGTTGCTACTGGTCCGCATTGTTCTGGAAGTTTTTTCGTTGCATCCAGGCTGGTGCTGGCAGGCAGTGGTTGGTCCCGTATCTTCCCGACATCTGGAAGGTTTAGAAGTAGAGGGCTGGTTCACTGCTGAAGTCTGACAGAGAGGAGCTATCAGCAGGTGTCAGCTGATGGTGAACAACAACAACAAAGACAAAGTTAATCAATAGGTTTAATTCCATAGTTGTCTAATGTGTTATTGGTGAAAATATTTGCTCTGACAATGATTTGATTATGGTTGTTGACTAAATGAACTTTTGTTCAGAATTTGGTTCTGTGCAGGTCAATTTATACTTTTACTGTCACTCAGAGGTGTGTTTCATATTAAAGATATTTCAGAATTCTTTGATGAATGATTTCAAAGTGCAGCATTTATGTGAAACAGAAATCTATAGTAACATTATAAATGTCTTTACTGTTACTTTTGATGAATATAATGCATCACTGCAAAATAAAAGTCTTAACTGTTGCTCAGGGGTTGTTCTACTCTTAAAACAAAGTATTAACTTTGAAGTATTAACGAAGTATTAACTACTCTGGAGTGTAACTTGTCTTGAATTGTTTGTGCTACGAACATACAGTAAAAAAAGAGAGATTTGTTGAAAAGAAATATGCTACCCGGTGATCCAAAGCTGATAAAATGGTAATACATCTCTGATCACTAATATTAGTCAAATAATTAGTTAGATAACTGACTATCCCATAAACTCTAAAAATATTGGTATCTCACAATTCTATACATTCAGGTTTTTTGAAGTTTTTCTTGTGTATTTATTTATTTAATAAACTACAGTAAAGAGTTATTGGTTATCGGCAATAATTCTTAACATATATCATGTTTAACGCAGTATGCATACATTATATATCATTATATATATATATATATATATATACACACACATACATATATACATATATATTATATATTATATATTATATATATATATATATATATGTGTGTGTGTGTGTGTGTGCACACACAATATTTTTTTTTCTGCAAAAAAAGAATATATTAATTATTTAAATATATTGGCAATATTATTACAATTTAAAATTCGTACCTGTTTTCTATTTTAATATATTTTAAAATGGCATTGATTCTTGAATTTTCAGTAGTCATATCAGTCTTCAGTGTCACATGATCCCTCAGGAATCATTCTGGGTTTTTTATTTTTTTTAAGATTCATATTAAACATATTTGCTTAATATGCTTATTTTCATGGAAACCTGATGCTTTTTTTCAAGATTCCTTGATTAACAGAAAGTTAAAAAAAAATAACAGCATTTATGTGAAAAAGAAATCAATTGTAAAATTATAAATGTCTTTAATGTCACTTTTGATTAATGTAATGCATCATTGCTGAATAAAAGTATTATTATTATTATTATTATTATTATTATTTTTATCCGACCCCAAGCTGTTGAATGGTTTCTTGTTTGCAGTTGTGCTTAAATGTTTCTATGGTTATCTCGGTAACCTATTGTGAACAAGAGACACTGCTGTATTCCATGGACACAGTATTTTAATGCAGTTGTCATTATAATAGAGAGGCTATACAGAAAATTGAGGGAGAGCTATTTTCACTAAGTCCCGTGATAAAAAACCACAAAGAGCAGAAACTAGCAAGCAATTCCAAATAGAAAACACTGTACACCTCATTTTACATTTACAGGGACCAGTCACATTTTCTATTAATTTTAAACTGTATATATATTTTGTTTTGTTTTGTTTTGTTTTGTTTTACCATGACCCCCTCTGTACTCTGTGAAGTGCCTTCCTCCCGGTGAGCCGACTCATCGAGCTTGTGTTCTTGCCAGGCGTTAAACTCCACTGAGTGTTTGGGTGTGTAACTGGACAGATCTGAGGACACAAGAAGAACCATAATAATCAATGTCAAAACAGACTGAAGAATCATCACAGAAACTATACTTCATCTAAAAATATTTTAGACGTATACATGCAATTATGTACATTTTTATAATATAAAATTATTATATACACCTTCCCTTGTACCTTTATATGTTGACTTCTTAAATGTTAAAATGACTGTTTCTGCTAAATGTCCTTGTCAACTACCCAAATGCAATAAATGTAACAACTGACCAGCAGGTGTCAACACTGTTCAAGTGTAGAGCCATAGAGCTTTATTGTAACGGTGAAGGTGATCTGTTATAAACACAGAGATCAGCCCAACAAATCATCCTCACCTCATTCATTTCAACAAGCTTTTCTACAATACTGAACATGAATCATTATTTAATATCTACCATGGATTCATCAAACTGCCCCCACTTCCTGTAAGACCACAAGAA